TCCAGACCTCCTGGAGTCCTGCTTAGACCTCATTTAGACTTATTTAGACCTGGTTTAGACCTTGTTTAGTCCTGGTTTAGTCCTGGTTTAGTCTTGGCTTTAGTCCTTCACCAAATCAAATCCTGTGATTTATGAGGGGGATTTGAAACCTCAGACTTGGCGCCCGCTGAGTTTGACTAAACTAATAACACGAAACTACAGAGACGAGCAGCAGGTCTGATGGTGAGTTTGTTTATTCATCCCACACAGACCAGGGACGTTGCCTGGCAACAAGCACTTCTTTCACAAGTACTTTACTGCGTCTGTATTACTGCAGTACTTTACTGCGTCTGTATTACTGCAGTACTTTACTGCGTCTGTATTACTGCAGTACTTTACTGCGTCTGTATCACTGCAGTACTTTACTGCGTCTGTATTACTGCAGTACTTTACTGCGTCTGTATTACTGCAGTACTTTACTGCGTCTGTATTACTGCAGTACTTTACTGCGTCTGTATTACTGCAGTACTTTACTGCGTCTGTATCACTGCAGTACTTTACTGCGTCTGTATTACTGCAGTACTTTACTGCGTCTGTATTACTGCAGTACTTTACTGCGTCTGTATTACTGCAGTACTTTACTGCGTCTGTATTACTGCAGCAGTACTTTACTGCGTCTGTCTGTATTACTGCACTGCAGTACTTTACTGCGTCTGTATTACTGCAGTACTTTACTGCGTCTGTATTCACTGCAGTACTTTTACTGCGTCTGTATTTACTGCAGTACTTTACTGCGTCTGTATCACTGCAGTACTTTACTGCGTCTGTATTACTGCAGTACTTTACTGCGTCTGTATTACTGCACTTACTGCAGCAGTACTTTACTGCGTCTGTATCACTGCAGTACTTTACTGCGTCTGTATCACTGCAGTACTTTACTGCGTCTGTATCACTGCAGTACTTTACTGCGTCTGTATCACTGCAGTACTTTACTGCGTCTGTATCACTGCAGTACTTTACTGCGTCTGTATCACTGCAGTACTTTACTGCGTCTGTATCACTGCAGTACTTTACTGCGTCTGTATCACTGCAGTACTTTACTGCGTCTGTATCACTGCAGTACTTTACTGCGTCTGTATCACTGCAGTACTTTACTGCGTCTGTATCACTGCAGTACTTTACTGCGTCTGTATCACTGCAGTACTTTACTGCGTCTGTATCACTGCAGTACTTTACTGCGTCTGTATTACTGCAGTACTTTACTGCGTCTGTATTACTGCAGTACTTTACTCTGGGTGAGTTTTTCTTTTTCTGTTTTAAAGTAAAGACAAAACAAAAACATCTTTATTTGAAATCATCTCGTTCAAACTGTAAAAGAATAAAACACAAAACAACATGAACAAAATCTACAAAACATGAACATGTGAAGATCCTGTGCTCCAGAATGTTCCAAACTACAGCATTAAACTTCTCTATCTCCATGGAGACGGGCAGGCGACAGCACCAGGTCAGGTTACAGGTCAGATCTGTGGAGAGACGTAAGAGTCTGTGTTTATCAATAAAAACACCAGGTAAGAGTCACGTCTGTGGAGACGCGAGCCCCAGTCACAGTAAACACACACACACAAACACACACACACAACACACACACACAACACACACACACACACACACACACACACACACACACACACACACACACACACACACACACACACACACGACACACACACACACACACATCACACACACACACACACACACACACACACACACACACACACACACACACACACACACACACACACAACACACACACACACAACACAAACACACACACACATGAACACACAACACAACACACACAACAGGTTTACTTCATGTCAGAAAAGTGACGCATTGTGGCTTTAAAAACACTCGGCCGTTGTTTTGATTTTGGGTGTTTTCTGCGTTCGCTCTGTCACGATGTCAGAGATGTTATTGTTTTGTCTAGAATGTTCCACCCTAGGGCTTTAACCTGTTTATTATTTGTCACCATGGAGACAACAAGACAAACATACCGAGCCCTCGCGTTAAGTTTTGAGTCAGGTCTGTGGAGAGGCGAGCCCACTCTGGAGGATTTTCTGAGCATTTTAAACAAATAAATGCTCCTGTTCGAGTCTGTTTATTGGCTGAAATGTTACGCAGTGGGGCTTTAAACGTGCATAGCTGTATGTCATGTTTCAGAGGATGGTACGCCACCTCCTCGTTGCCATGGAGATGCTGTTGCTTGGTGTAAAATGTCCCAGAGTGTGACATTAAACTTAAATCTTAAACTTTTCACTCATTTTTCTTTTGAATACAAACACACGTTCAGTGTGTGAGGTCGGCTCGCCTCTCCACAGACCCGACCTGTAACTCAGCAGGATTTTAGTTTGGGGTCTGATCATTTTAATGCCGCGCTGAGGGACATTCCAGGTCAAACAAACAGAGCAGAAACATCTCCATTTTTAGCGTCTCCCCGAAACCAATCCCGTGTAAAAGCGAGAACGTCCCAAACTCCACGGTGAGGAAATCGGCGTCTGGTCTCCACGGCAACGGTCGGAACAAACAAAACAAAAAACAAAAACAAAAAACACGGAGTTTTTTGCGTCCGAGGCTTTAAATAAAAAGTTTGGAGGAAGTTTGAGTCTCTGGAGGCCGAGTGTGGGAACAGCCGCCGGACGAGCGTTTGACGAATGGATTTATAATGTGCGTCTGTTTAAGGCGTTTAAAGAGCATTACGTAACTTTTCTGGTGGAGGGTGGGTTTATATCTACAGTTCCAGGTCAGATCTGTGGAGAGGCGACCCCGCTCACAGTCACAACGTCTGTTTTTCTAAGTATATTTGAGCTTTAAAACCTCCTGTGATTGATTAAATGCTAAAGTGGAGCTGTTTAAAGTCGCACTGTGGAACATTCCAGACAGAGCGCTGACGTCTCCGTGGAAACAAACGGGTGACAGATGCCCGACCGCAAAGTTCCGCAGTGCAGCTTTAGCGTCAGTGTGAGTGAACATGTGGAAAAGACTCGACTCCTCCCAGAGAACGAAAAAAAAAAAAAACTCCTCCAGAAAACAAAGAAACTTTTGTGTCGAGAAAAAGAATCTGAACCAGGACTAAACCAGGACTAAACCAGGTCTAAACCAGGTCTAAACCAGGTCTAAACCAGGACTAAACCAGGTCTAAACCAGGTCTAAACCAGGACTAAACTAGGACTAAACCAGGTCTAAACCAGGACTAAACCAGAACTAAACCAGGACTAAACCAGGTCTAAACCAGGTCTAAACCAGGTCTAAACCAGGACTAAACCAGGACTAAACCAGGTCTAAACCAGGACTAAACCAGGTCTAAACCAGGACTAAACCAGGACTAAACCAGGTCTAAACCAGGTCTAAACCAGGTCTAAACCAGGACTAAACCAGGACTAAACCAGGTCTAAACCAGGTAAACCAGGACTAAAACCAGGACTAAACAGGACTAAACCAGGTCTAAACCAGGACTAAACCAGGACTAAACCAGGTCTAAACCAGGACTAAACCAGGACTAAACCAGGACTAAACCAGGTCTAAACCAGGTTCTAAACCAGGAAACTAAACCAGGACTAAACCAGGTCTAAACCAGGACTAAACCAGGTAAACCAGGACTAAACCAGGACTAAACCAGGTAAACTAAACAAACAGGACTAAACCAGGACTAAACCAGGTCTAAACCAGGTCTAAACCAGGTCTAAACCAGGACTAAACCAGGTCTAAACCAGGTCTAAACCAGGACTAAACCAGGACTAAACCAGGAAACTAAACCAGGACTAAACCAGGACTAACCGGACTAAACTAAACAGGTCTAAACCAGGACTAAACCAGGACTAAACCAGGTCTAAACCAGGACTAAACTAAACCAGGACTAAACCAGGACTAAACCAGGTCTAACCAGGACTAAACCAGGACTAAACCAGGACTAAACCAGGTCTAAACCAGGATAAACCAGGACTAAACCAGGACTAAACCAGGTCTAAAACCAGGACTAAACCAGGTCTAAACCAGGACTAAACCAGGACTAAACAGGAAACCAGGACTAAACCAGGACTAAACCAGGTCTAAACCAGGTCTAAACAGTAAACCAGGTCTAAACCAGGACTAAACCAGGACTAAACAGGTCTAAACCTAAACCAGGACTAAACCAGGTAAACAGGTTAACTAAACAGGACTAAACCAGGTCTAAACCAGGACTAAACCAGGACTAAACCAGGATAAACCAGAAACTAAACCAGGACTAAACCAGGACTAAACCAGGTAAACCAGGACTAAACCAGGACTAAACCCAGACTAAACCAGGACTAAACCAGGACTAAACCAGTCAAACCAGGAAACCAGGTTAAACCAGGACTAAACCAGGAAAAAACCAGGTCTAAACCAGGACTAAACCAGGACTAAACCAGGAAACTAATAAACCAGGTCTAAACCAGGACTAACCAGGACTAAACCAGGTTAAACAGGTTAAACCAGACTAAACCAGTTAAACCAGGTCTAAACCAGGACTAAACCAGACTAAACAGGACTAAACAGGTCTAAACAGGACTAAACCAGGACTAAACCAGGTTAAACCAGGACTAAACCAGGACTAAACCAGGTCTAAACCAGGACTAAACCAGGTTAAACCAGGTCTAAACCAGGACTAAACCAGGACTAAACCAGGACTAAACCAGGACTAAACCAGGACTAAACCAGGACTACAGCAGGATTAAACGGGGTTTTGGTTCAGTTGTTTTATTTATATTTGTAGGTGAGTTTGTTTTGCAGATTTTAAACTAATTTTAAACTTTAAAAAAATAAAATCACAGATAAAATGTCACGTTGCTCCATAAATAAATAATTTATTTATTCATCAGGTTTGGCTAAAAATCACAATAAACATTAAATACATATAAAAAAAAAACACAACTTTCCAAGACAAGGAACTAAAATAGTTGAATAAATAGATTTTAGTTTGATGATGTGGACTCAAAATGTTCTTTTTTTAACACAATATATAATTTAAAGTTTTTATGTGACACAAATGTGACTGTGTGAGGTTTAAGTCGTGTTCTAATGTCGTCTCCTCGTCAAAAACAGAACTGGAGTCGTGTTTGAGTTTTTATTATTCGTCTGTTTACTTCTCCAAACATCAAAACGCTCTGTTCCACCTTGTGATGTCATGAAGTGGTAGTTTTCAAGTGAACATCTCCTTTTTTCCCTTTAGTTCAGTGGAGATCATCAGTTCCAGGACTGAAATGCTCCAGATGATTCTGTTGAAGGTGTTTGGACGTCAGTGGCGTTGAGTTTATTTGATTTCTTTCGTGTCCTGCTTCGTTTGGCTGCTGCCCACACGAGTTTATAAAACACACAAACAATCGTCCGACAGATCACACGTCAAACGCAAAGTGTCGTCTCACGGAGCAGCGGGATTTGAACACAAATCATCCACGATCCGACTTGAAAACATGAAATTTAAACAAATGTTCCCGTCGCTCCTCATCAGACTCTGAAAACAAACACAGAAGAACATTAAACTGAAGAACATTAACACTGAAGAACATTAAACACTGAAGAACATTAAACACAGAAGAACATTAAACACTGAAGAACATGAAACACTGAAGAACAAGAAACACAGAAGAACATGAAACACTGAAGAACATTAAACACTGAAGAACATTAAACACTGAAGAACATTAAACACTGAGGAACATTAAACACAGAAGAACATGAAACACTGAAGAACATGAAACACTGAAGAACATGAAACACTGAAGAACATTAAACACTGAAGAACATGAAACACTGAAGAACATGAAACACTGAAGAACATTAAACACTGAAGAACATGAAACACTGAAGAACATTAAACACTGAAGAACATGAAACACTGAAGAACATGAAACACTGAAGAACATGAAACACTGAAGAACATTAAAACACTGAAGAACATGAAACACTGAAGAACATTAAACACAGAAGAACATGAAACACTGAAGAACATGAAACACTGAAGAACATGAAACACAGAAGAACATGAAACACTGAAGAACATTAAACACTGAAGAACATGAAACACTGAAGAACATGAAAACACTGAAGAACATGAAACACTGAGGAACATTAAACACTGAAAGAACATGAAAACATAAACAGAAGAACATGAAACACAGAAGAACATGAAACACACTGAAGAACATGAAACACTGAAGAACATGAAACACTGAAGAACATTAAACACAGAAGAACATGAAACACTGAAGAACATTAAACACTGAAGAACATGAAACACTGAAGAACATTAAACACAGAAGAACATGAAACACTGAAGAACATTAAACACTGAAGAACATGAAACACTGAAGAACATTAAACACTGAAGAACATGAAACACTGAAGAACATTAAACTCTGAAGAACATGAAACACAGAAGAACATTAAACACTGAAGAACATGAAACACTGAAGAACATTAAACACTGAAGAACATGAAACACTGAAGAACATTAAACACAGAAGAACATTAAACACTGAAGAACATTAAACACAGAAGAACATGAAACACTGAAGAACATGAAACACTGAAGAACATGAAACACAGAAGAACATGAAACACTGAAGAACATGAAACACTGAAGAACATTAAACACTGAAGAACATTAAACACTGAAGAACATTAAACACTGAAGAACATGAAACACTGAAGGAACATTAAACACAGAAGAACATGAAACACTGAAGAACATTAAACACTGAAGAACATGAAACACTGAAGAACATGAAACACTGAAGAACATTAAACACTGAAGAACAGGTCCTGAGACAAAAGACAGAAGGACAGAAAATATATTTCATATTAATCTGTGTGTCGTTCGTTCATTTGTTTTTCAAAATAAAACCAAAAATAAGAAAATGGAAAAAAAAAACAGTTTTCTTCATTATTTGTCTCCAAAATCAAAATGAAAAAAACAGATAAAGATTCGTTTTTTCAGTTTTCGATTTTGTGTTTAAATGAAAAATGAAAAAAAAATAAAATAAAAAACGGTTAAAAAACTGAACCAGAACTGAACTGTTTTCAATCCTGGTCTGGTCCCAGTCTAGTCCTGGTCTAGTCGTGGTCTCTGTCCCAGTCTGATCCTGGTCTGGTCCTGGTCTCAGTCACAGTCTGGTCTCGATCTAGTCCCGGTCTAGTTACAGTCTCGGTTCCGGTCTGGTCCCGGTTTCAATCACAGTCTAGTCCTGGTCTGGTCTCGGTCTAGTCCTGGTCTAGTTGCAGTCTTGGTCCCAGTCTGGTCCCGGTCTCAATCACAGTCTAGTCCTGGTCTCGTCTTGGTCTAGTCGCAGTCTTGGTCCAGGTCTAGTCCTGGTCTGGTCTCGGTCTCAATCACAGTCTGGTCCCGGTCAGTCTTGGTCCTGGTCTCAGTGACTTGGTTCAGTCCGTTTTTTGTTTTTTTGTTTTTTTCATTTTGGTTTTGGAGACAAATAATGAAGAAAATATATATTTTTTAATTTTTGGTTTTATTTTGAAAAACGAATAAACGAAAGAAACACAGATTCATGTTCAGTGTCCAGTAAGAGTTTGTTTACACGAAAAACACTTGAGTAAAAACGACAAAATATTTGATGCGAAGTGTCTTTCGTTTAGACGTGACGGAGTTTTTGGGGCTTAAAAACGTTAAAAAAGTTGAACACACTCTGCTGTAGAGTTTCTGTTTACACTGCCCAAGACACAAAACTCTGGTCACATGAGCTCAGGTCGTGTACGAGTTTACGTCACAAACGTCTCCACCGAGTCGCCTGCGTCAAACACAGTCCAGTTCCACACACTTTCGCGTCATCGTCTGCAGCAGATTTCCTCCTGAAAACACTCGAATAAACACGGAATAAAAAGTGAAAACGCACCGACACTTTTACTTCTTCTGTTCAGACGTCGTCATATAAACGTCGCCTCAAACAAACGCTCCAGTCTCTCCTCATCAGACTCTGCAAACAAACACTGAGAAACATTAGACGAAGAACAGAAGAACTGAAAATACATTTTATTTTCAATATCCTGTGAGTCTGACAGACACATGTGCTGCTCCTCTGGGACGGATGGAAACGTTCTGTCACGACTGTTTTCAGTTTGAGAGAAGAACTCGAGTTAAACCTGTTAAACTTGTGTGAATGAAACAAAAAAACAACAGCTGCAGTGTGTGTGTTTATGACGAGGAAACGACGTTAGAACAGAAACAGAACAGAACAGAACAGAACAGAACAGAAGAGGAAACAGCGTCATGTGGATCTTTAACAAAGATCAGATGTACAAAACATTTTTCAATTTCTTAATTTGAGGAAACAGAATTGAGACGTGAGTGTTTGTGTGTGTGTGTGTGTGTGTTGTGTGTGTGTGTGTGTGTGTGTTTGTGTTGTGTTTGTGTGTGTGTGTGTGTGTGTGTGTGTGAAGTTTAAACAAAGATGATTAAAATTACGAAAAATGAGACAAAACTGTATTATTTATTGTAAAGAAAATGTCAAAGTCATTTGTATTTTCAGTAGAATTTACAGACGTGTCGTCTGTGTTTATGAACAGTGTTGGGAAATTTACTTTTAAAATGTAATCCCCTACAGATTACAGATTACACAAGACAAAATGTAGTTTGTAACATAATCCATTAAATTACTTAAAGTGAGTAATGTAATCTGATTACTATGGATTACTTGATTTGCTGTAGAGAAACAAAGACTCTGACACTTAACCGTATTAAAAATATTATTGAGTGTGTTCACATGCACATCAATAACCCGGTTATGATTGGGTTTTTTCAGTGTCCCGGTTTCTTCATGGTTCATGTAAACGCAGTAACCTGGTTTCAGTGTCCAGGTTATTAGAAACCGAGTTACTGTAGCTGGTTTATTCTGATAGTAACTGTGATACTGTGACATGTAAACGCAGTTTCCCGGTTACTGCAACATAAAGTTGAGTCACATGTGTCCAAAAGACACTTTCCAGTCTTTTCACCACAACAGTAGTGACATAAATAAATTGACCAACATAAATAAAGTGACCAAACGAGTGAAATGACTGTAAAATAAAGAGCTGCACTAAACCTGCACATGTACAATCTGCACTCGTGTGACGCTGAAAAAGCTAAAACATGAACTATCTCCTGTACAACACACACACAGAACAGACTCACCATCATCAGCACCTCTTCTGTCACAAAAACAACTCACATAATCCACAGAGTCGAGTCATTTAGTCCAAAAGAAACTGATCACATCAGCGGCGCAAGGAGCGAGTTGTTTTTATCGCCGCTAACAGTTTATGCTAATTAGCCAAACGGTCTTAAGTTTCGTTTCTGTAAAACATAAACAAATGTGATCAGAGCTGAATGATCTGATCAAACGGGCTGATGTGTCTCTAGTGTTTATGGTTTATATGTTGTAAAGTTGAGTTTATTGATTCTGCGCAGTGGATTGTGGGAGATCTCGTAGCTCCTTAGCTTCTTATGCTAAAGGAGCTCACAGGTTTGTATTTTTCCTGGTTTATGAAATTGATTTAAATTAATATTTGCGCCTGCGCATTTGTAAGATTATGTCAAGAAACCGGGACACAACATTTGATCATGTGACGTGGATATGAGTGTCTCGGTTTCTCAGTGAACATGTAAACACAGTAACACAAATACTGACAGAACCGGGATATGGATCAATAACCGGGTTATTGATGAACATGTGACACACTCACTGATAGACACGTCCACACAGCAGGATTTAGTCCTGTTAAATCCTAGTATAGACCTGGTTTAGACCTGGTTTAGTCCTAGTTTAGACCTGGTTTAGATCTAGTTTAAATCTAGTTTAGACTTGGTTTTAGTCCTGGTTTAGTCCTGGTTTTAGTCCTGGTTTAGACCTGGTTTAGATCTAATTTAGACCTGGTTTAGACTTGGTTTTAGTCCTGGTTTAGTCCTGGTTTAGACCTGGTTTAGATCTAATTTAGACCTGGTTTAGACTTGGTTTTAGTCCTGGTTTAGACCTGGTTTAGATCTAGTTTAGATCTAGTTTAGACCTGGTTTAGATCTAATTTAGACAACACACAAAAAGCCACAACACATAAAAAAAAAAAAGCCACAACAAAAATGACCGCGGGACTCTATTTTAATGCAAATGCCACAACACATTAAAAAGCCACAACACATTAAAAAGCCACAACACATTAAAAAGCCACAACACATTAAAAAGCCACAACACATTAAAAAGCCAGTGTTTGGACTGTCTCAAGATTTTGTATTTATTTATTTATTTTTGCATTTATACATTTCAATAGCAAATTACCAAAACATCACATTAGTGCAATTACCCCCCCAAAATAAATTAATAATAATAATAATATTAATAATAATAATAATAATAATAATAATAATAAAAGCTAACATAAAAAAATTATTATTATAACAATAATAATAAATGAAAAAAAAAAAAAAATCAGCAGATATAAAGACAGATAAATACATAGTGACAAATAAAAAAGACTTACACAGCCAGGCTAAAGTTTGGAGTCCATTTTATGTGTCCATGTGTTTCAAAAAAATGACTGCGGAGATTTGATATTTTCTAATAAAGTAAAAGATTTAATCAGATTTTTAATATGATTCAGTGAAACGTCGGCAGGTTTTTCATTAAAGGAAACTCGTCCGCAGACTCGACTCGACTCGACTGTAAATGTGACGAGTTTCAGTCAAACGGTTCCAGATTTCCACATTTGAAAGGTGTAAAATAAAAACATGTTTCTGGAGCAGATGGAAAACGAGAGTTAAAGATTCACAGATTTGCTCCGTCAGAACAAAAGAGTTTTTATCAGGAGGAAAAGTGATGAATTTAAGACACACTTCATCTGTTGGACGAGCAGGAAGAGTTGGTTGCTACGGACGACGGGGCAGAAAACACTTCAAAATACAATATGTGACTTTCTGAAGGTCAACTGCAGGATTCCATGGAAACAGAGAGTTAAAGCCACACTCTGGAACATTCTCTGTGGGGATAGATCAGTTTTATGTGAAACTGTGGATGATTATTACCCTGATTCATCAGCCGGTTTCACTCTGTGGAAACCGTGTGACCTCACAGTATTAGGATTTGTTCGCTCGACGGTAGAATCTGTGTATCATTCGGCCATTTGTTTTTCAAAATAAAACAAAACCAAAAAAAAGAAAAGAAAAGAAAACAACTATTTTCTTCATTATTTGTCTCCAAAACCAAAATAAAAAAACAGATAATGATTTGTTTTTTCAGTTTTCGATTTTGTGTTTAAATGAAAAATGGAAAAAACGGATAACGGACTGAACTGGTCTGGTCCCGGTCTCAGTCCGCGTCTCAGTTCTGGTCTCAGTCCTCGTCTCAGTTCTGGTCTCAGTCCTCGTCTCAGTCCCGGCCTCAGTCCTCGTTTCAGTCCTGGTCTCAGTCCTGGTCTCAGTCCTGGTTCAGTCCTGGTTCAGTCTGGTCTCAGTTCTGGTCTCAGTCCTCGTCTCAGTCCCGGCCTCAGTCCTCGTTTCAGTTCTGGTCTCAGTCCTGGTTCAGTCCTGGTTCAGTCCTGGTTCAGTCCTGGTTCAGTCCTGGTTCAGTCCAGCATTCACAGTTTCAATCATGAAAACAGTAAACGGCCGTTATCCATTTTTCATTGAAACACAAAATCGAAAACTGAAACTCTGTTTTATTTTTTAAATTTGGTTTTGGAGACAAATAATGAAGAAAATTGTTGTTTTTTCACTTTCTTATTTTTTCTGATGTGCTGGAAACTCTCTCGTTATGTTCCACTTCACTTTTGCCTCCATCTTCCTCCGTTCTGAAATGTAGAATGTTTTTGTTTACAGTTTCTGTTCACACTCGGGTGAAGTGTTAGAAGTGTGCAGCTCAAGGGCACAACAGCAGCAGTTTGTGTGTTTGTGTTTCGAGTCGTTTATGACCCGAGCTCCTGTTCGTCTCGTCTTTATGACTCTGATTATCAAAACTTTATTACATCAAACTTTCTCTGATAAGAAAAAAACAACACGACGACTCTGAAACTGAACCGACAAACGCCTGGTTTAGTCCTGGTTTAGTCCTGGTTTAGTCCTGATTTAGTCCTGGTTTAGTCCTGATTTAGTCCTAGTTTAGTCCTGGTTTAGTCCCAGTGTAGTCCTCTTTTAGTTCTGGTTTAATCCTGTTTTAGTCCTGGTTTAGTTCTAGTTTCGTCCTGGTTTAGTCCTGTTTTAGTCCTGTTTTAGTCCTGGTTTAGTCTTGTTTTTAATCCTGTTTTAGTCCTTAGTTTCGTCCTGGTTTCGCCCTGGTTTAATCCTGATTTAGTCCCAGTGTAGTCCTCTTTTAGTCCTGGTTTAATCCTGATTTAGTCCTGGTTTAGTCTTGGTTTAGCCCTAGTTTAGCCCTGGTTTAGTCCTGTTTTAGTTCTGATTTAGTCCTGGTTTATTCCTAGTCTAGTCCTGTTTTAGTCATGGTCTGGTCTTGGTCTGGTCTTGGTCCTGGTCCTGGTCTGGTCTGGTCTGGTCCTGGTCTGGTCTGGTCTGGTCTGGTCTGGTCCTGGTCCTGGTCCTGGTCCTGGTCTGGTCCTGGTCTGGTCCTGGTCTGGTCTGGTCTGGTCCTGGTCTGGTCTGGTCCCTGGTCCCTGGTCTGGTCCTGGTCCTGGTCTGGTCCTGGTCTGGTCCTGGTCTGGTCCTGGTCTGGTCTGGTCTGGTCTGGTCCCTGGTCTGGTCCTGGTCCTGGTCTGTTCCCACAGCTCTAATCGTGTTTCGGTCTCAGACAAACGTCACTCACATTTTTCTGGAGCCGAACGAGGGAAACTTTTTCTTCTTTAAAAGGAAACACCCCCCCCCCCCTCCTCCCTCCTCCCCCCGTTTCACTTCCTGTTTCCATCTCCACGGCAACCGTAACCACAACAAACACTCGCCCGTCGCCAAGGAAGCCTCCGCTCTGTTTGGGTTTGACCTTCTCTTTATTTTCTTTGACATTCTTTCACACAAACCCGAAGAACAACGCCGACACGGAACTGACGGTTCTGCACCGCTCCAGGTGGTTCTGGTCCGGTTCTGCAGGACTCCAGGTGGTTCTGGTTCCGGTTCTGCAGGACTCCAGGTGGTTCTGGTCCGGTTCTGCAGGACTCCAGGTGGTTCTGGTCCGGTTCTGTCGGGTTCTGTTGGACTTCAGGTGGTTCTGGTCCGGTTTTGTTGGGTTCTGTAGACTTCAGGTGGTTCTGGTCCGGTTCTGGTCCGGTTCTGTTGGACTTCAGGTTTTGTCGGGTTCTGTCGGGTTCTGTAGGTTTTCTGGTCGTTTTCTGAGTGATTCGGGTCACGGTTCTGACCCTGAAAACGACTCAGTTCTGAGTTTGGAGTTTGAAAAATGTCCAGGTTAAATCGGGTTAAATAAAAACTCGGGAAAAGAGAAAAAAACAGAAGAAACATGTGGGCGAGAATTTAGAAGAAAAAAAAAACGTGATGAGAAAAAAACAGAGAGAGAAACATGATAAGAAAGAACAGAGAGAACAAGAAGAGAGAGAGAGAAGAGGAGGGAGGGAGAGGAAAAGAACAGAGGGGAGAGAAACATGATAAGAAAGAAAAGATAAATGAGAAAGAAAAAGAATAGAGATGGAGAGAGAGGAGGGAGGGAGGAAGAGAGAAGAGAGAGAGAAATGGGGGGAAGAACGGAGGGAGAGAGAAGCATGATAAGGAGAGAGAGAGAGAGAGAGAGAGAGAGAAAGAGGAGGAGGAGGAGGGAGAAAATAACCGGGAGAGAAACATGATAAGAAAGAACAGATTAAGAGAGAGAGAGAAGGAGGAGAGATCAGGAGATAGAGAGAGAGAGAGAGAAGAGAGAGAGAGAGAGAAGAGAGAAGAGAGAGAGAGAGGAGGAGAGGAGAGAGAGAGAGATAGAGAGAGAGAAGAGGAACAACGAGAGAGAGAGAGAGAGAGAGAGAGAGAGAGAGAGAGAGAGAGAGAGAGAGAGAGAGAGAGGAGGAGGAGGAGGAGAGAAATTGCAAAAGACGAGGAGGAAGTTTTTGCGTCTGAAATCGACTCAGGGTCAAAGCCAAAAGAAACAAATCGTAAATCAAACAGTGAAACTTTCACAGACTCACAGTCCAGACTGAGGGAATGTGTGACTCTGGGGGTGAGCTACATACTAGTATAAGTGTATGGTGAAATGTTGAGCTGTTACCATGGAGACACAATGTAAACATAAGCATATATATATCTATCTATAGATTTGGGGAAAAGTCCCGCAGTGATTCATTTTCCTGTG